TATTTTTAACGTTAAGTGCCGAGAACAACGCGGCGAAAGAGGCTCTACCGAAGGTTTCCTATGTGAAAGTGAGTTAAATTTTAAAAGTTAAGTAAAATAGCATTGCAGGCAATTGATTTGTGGTTTGGTTTCACGTCGACTTTCGTTTTCGCCACGATGATCCAAGCGTTGATCATCATTTCTCTCGAAAATGAAAGCAAAAAGATTGTGAGTTCTTCGAAATACAGTTTTCAATAGCTATATAGATATTAAAATCTATTTGTAATGATTTTTCTAGAAAAAGAAAGCTCTAGCAAATGAGGAAGCTTATGGAAAGTACATGTTGGCGAAGATGCTCGTGAAAAGTCATCGATTTCACAAGATTGCTCGGGATTTTGACAGTTTTTGCAAGGTGTGAGAAAGATAAAAAAAAAGTGATCAATTACTTAGTTATGCTAAGGTTATTTCAGAAATTCTATAACCTTACAGCCTAGAAATTTGAGCCAAATACCGTATTTTCTCTAATAGTAGTGCACCCTGAGCCTTGCCTAAATTCCTCGAAATCTCGAAAAGCGCTTATCAGAACCTATCGATGTGGAGTCTCGGAAAATGTAGCTGACGATGAGATCTTGTGGGGGATTAGAGTGTTGGACTTCTGGGAAAACTTGGAAACTGTAAAATAGGAATCAACTCGGCTTACCGGGAAATATTAGGAAATAGATCAGTCTGATCTACTAGTCTAACCTGGAATAATATACCGTATTTTCTCTAATAGTAGTGCATCCTAATCGTCGCCTAAATTCCTTGAAATCTCGAGAACCGCTTATCAGAACCTATCGATGTGGGGTCGGAAAATGTAGCTGACGATGAGATCTAGTGGGGGATTAGAGTGTTGAGCTTCTGCGAAAACTTGGAAACCGTAAAATAGGCATCAACTCGGCTTACCGGGGTGCACTACTATTCCAGAAAATACGGTAAGTCAAGTCGGTGACAAGATTCATGCCTAATCTACTGGCCTTTTTACTTTTTGGGTTGATTTGACTTTGGTTGAGACTCAGGAATTAAAGCTTTTACAATTTATTTATAGGTTTATTTATAGACTATGATTGAACTTTTGCTCAATGTCTTAACGTTACAGATTTGTCATTTAGGTGATGTACCCGGTGACATTCATCCTTTTCTTGATGATCTATCGTTTCGTGATCATCGAGGGTGAAGAAGTGAAATGTTTGCGAGAGGATCAAGCTTAAAATTTTCTGAATCGAGCTTTAAGAACAATTTGGAACTAGCTTTACAGAGAGAAAGAGAGGAAATAAAAAAAAATAGAAAGTTTTATGAAAACAAACACTGAAAGAAAAAGAGAAAAGTTGTAGAAAATGTAGAAGAAAAAAAAAAGCGCTTGATGTTTCATTTTTTTAAAGTCTATTTATTCGACACGAATAATGAAAGGCAAAACAACGGAATGCCAACACAACGGAATGTCAACCCAACGGAATGTCAAAACAACGGAATGTCAACACAACGGAATGTCAACCCAACGGAATGTCAACACAACACAAATTTTTACCCCCTAATTACCCCTATTGCCGAAATGTTGTTAAGAAAAAACACTGAAATCGAAATTGCGAGAAGAGCTATTTAATTCCAAAGTCGGGCTATGGTTTTACATCAGAAAAATTTGGACGACGATTGGACCTGGAATTCTTGATGAATTAATTAGATCGATGCCTACTCGTATTAAAGAAGTACTTTTGGCAAGAGGAAGGCCGAGAAAATATTGATTATAGCTTAATTTCGTCTTGTGTTAAAAGACTTTTGCACCACGATTTTCAGGGGTGTTTTGACAATTATATTTTTTTCTCGATGAATATGTTTTGTATAGCGACAGCGTTTGTGTAAATAAATTGTACATATATTTGTGTAACTAAAACTATTGACAGCTTAAAGAGCGCTATGAACTTTATCAGAGAAAATCGATGTAACTTTTTAGAAAATTGAGTGTTAAAAGACTTTTGCACATGACTGTTTGCTTTATTCATAGGGGCGAATAGAAGCGAATCAGATAATCAGAATTTCAAATTTTCAAAGCGAATCAGGTAATCATAACCACATATAACATATTGCTAAAATACTTTAAGATTTACTTTTTTTTAAAATTCCATAATACGACCTCAATTCATTCTCGTGTTTCTCGTTTTCACACCTTTAAAATCCTTTTCTTGCATTAGAAATAAATATATTTGAAAAATAAAAGCTATATTTATCTATTAGGTTGATGCATAAGTGTTTTTGTTCCTTTTCGTCTGCCGTTTCAAGCCAACAAATGCACGAATTAAACTACGGTTGATTTCATTAGAAAAAGCAATTATTTTTCTGCAAAATAACATTAAAACGGGTTTAAAAATATTTAATGCCTGGATTTTCTTGAGAGTATGAAGTCGGGTAGTCAAAAAGGGCTAACTCGATGATGCGGTTTAGACACCTTAGCTAAAGAAAACCTATCTTCGTGTCAATAGATAAAAGATAGAGAGAAAAAACGTTTGATATTTCGCCAAAATTTCAGAGAAATTCATTCAGCCAATTTTTCCGTAGAGTTTTTTATAGATTTTTACGAAAAAGGCTATTTTCACTCTCGAATTTGCTTGAAAGTGAACCGAAATTCATCTAAAAAGATGCAAATTGAACAAAAAAACACTTTTTTTTATAGAGCAAACTATAGATTAATTCGTGAATTTGTTACTTTCCCAACTAGAAGCCGTCTTCTTAGATTTTGCAAAAGCTTTTGATTCTGTTCCCATTGATCTTCTAATTCACAAACTGCATGCTTACCGGTTCAGTCCACTTGTAATTTCGGTCGTCAAAAATTTTCTTTCTCAGAGGACTTTCAAAGTAATTCTAAATAATGTCCTTTCTCCCTCTTTTGATTGTCCTAGCGGGGTTCCTCAGGGTAGTATTCTTGGTCCTCTTTTGTTTACTATCTATATTAATGACCTGCCTAACTGTCCTTTCAAATCAAAAAGTTCCTCCATCTGGCTCTATGCCGATGATGTTAAGCTTACGTTCAAAATTCCCATCGGAACTCAAGTAGCTTCGCTTGCGGCTGTAAAAGATGCAAACCATGACTTAGAACTTATTAATTTGTGGGCCAAAACGTGGAAGCTTTCCCTAACCCCTTCAAAATCTCAACATTTTTCCACTGGTAAATTTAGTTTCTCTTTGGTAATTAACAATATTCCTATCAATTACATTAGTAAATTAGATTTTGTTAGAGATTTAGGTGTCCACATCTCTCCCCCTTTTAATTTCACTAAACATATTGAAATCATTTGTCGAAAAGCTTCTTTTGTTTCTAGCCGTATTCTCAAATCAATTGTTCATCCTAACCTAAACTCTTACCGCAAATGCTTGACGACTTATATCCGGCCCATCTTAGAATATGCTTCTATTGTTTGGTCTCCCCGCGCACAAGTCTTTATTGAACGCTTGGAGAAAATTCAGAGGAGGTTCACAAAAGTCGCTTTATGGAAAATTGACTATTCTAAATATTCTAGCTTTACTTATGAGGAGAGACTTGCTTTTTTTTGAACTAAAAACTTTACAGCATCGTCGCTTTGTCATTGATTTAGTCGAAACTTTCAAAATCCTCCGTTGTAAACAGATTAGCCCTTTGTTTATAGACTTTTTCAAATTTAAACCGCGGTCAGGGCCCAGAAGTGGCTCATTCCTTTTGCAAATTCCCTTTGCTTCCAATGCCTCTTCATCAAATTCATTTCCCGTTAGAGCCGCTAGATTATGGAACTTGCTCCCAAACGACATACGAGAAATTCAGTCGCTTTTCATATTCAAGAAACGTATCGATGCTTTAGATCTAGTGGCTCTTTGCCGTAAGTAATTGGCTTATTGATTTCAGTATGTATTGTATGATTAAGTATCACTGTGCATTTCTCTATGATTTCTTTCACTTTATCGTTTGAATAAAGTATTATTATTTCTAACAGAAGTACGAAAAAAAACGAAAAGACTTATGCATCAACCTATTATATTCATTTATCAAATTGAAATCTTGATATAATCAAAAAAAGAAAGAATTAAAATGATTGAAATGATTGAGAAGGAATTGAAAAGCAATCTTGAGCCGGTTTTAAATGACTTTTTTTTTGTTTGATATTCTTTTTATTGTTTGTTTGACCCCACAAATCCGGTTTTAAATGATCGTGTGAAATGGTGAAAAGCTTTTGAGAAAATCAAACAAAAAAAGAATTATCAAGAATGTTCTCAATATTATTTCTTATTCTTTTTAAAGATGGTAATGTTTTTTTTTGTTTTGTTTTTAAAATTCACTATTTTTATAGTAGTTTGTGATTCGGATCCAATGCATATGATTGACATGAATTGGTGGGAGAAATTTCAACCGTCAACCTATTTCCTCAATAATAAAGGTTAGTTTTTTTTTTTTATTTTTAATGATTAAAGTTGATTTGAAGCAACACAAATAATAGTCTAGAAGTCTAGAAGTGTAAATGCTTGTGTTAGTGTTAATGGTAATCAAAATTGTACTTTCTTTTCATTTCTTTTCCTTCTTCTCTTTTCTTTTCTTTTCTTCTCTTTCATTTGAACAAATCTGACTTATTTCTCTGGTTTTTCTTGATTTGAAGCAACACAAATAATAGTCTATAAGTCTAGAAGTGTAAATGCTTGTGTTAGTGTTAATGTTAATCAAAACCGTACTTTCTTCTACTTTTCTTTTCTTTTTGTTTTCATTTGAACAAATCAGACTTATTTCTTTGGTTTTCTTGATTTGAAGCAACACAAATAATAGTCTATAAGTCTAGAAGTGTAAATGCTTGTGTTAATGTTAATGGTAATCAAAATTGTACTTTCTTTACTTTTCTTTTCCCTTCTTCTCTTTTCTTTTCTTTTCTTCTCTTTCATTTGAACAAATCAGACTTATTTCTCTGTTTTTCTTTCAAGAATCTGATTTCAAAAATGTTAAAAATTTAATATTTTTATAAAAATCCTTAAAACCAATCATAATACGGTAAATGACAAATGTAATTATGAGTGGGAATCGAGAGAATAGCAGCAATGAGAATGCCGACAGTGTCTGCTGCAGTCACAATTAAAAGAGCGAATTCTTTCACTGATGTTGAAACCTAAAAAAAGAAAGGAAATTCGTTTTGATTTTGCTTAAAAATTCAAAAACTCAAATTTTTACTATCCATTTAAAAGGTTTATAATTGTTTCTCTATTTTAGACTCACATTTTTGTGAACATGTCGAACAGTGTTCGCGTAGGCGGATCCACCGACGAGTCCCTCTAATAGAATGATTCCATAGACAACGAGAATGTGTGGAAGGTATGGGGAAAGGGACTCGAGCAGAAGTGAGCTCATGATTGACATCTGAATAGGGATTTTGATTTGGGGAAATTTGATTTATGAGTTTGATTGTAAAGATAGAATTCTGAAAAGAGCAAGAAAAGAGCAAGAAAAGATTAAGCAAAGATTATAGCAAAGATCTTACTTGCGAGATCGGCAAAGCAGCAAAGATCTTATTTGCGAGATCGGCAAAGCGGCAAAGACCTTACTTGCGAGATCGGCAAAGCGGCAAAGATCTTATTTGCGAGATCGGCAAAGCGGCAAAGATCTTACTTGCGAGATCGGCAAAACGGCAACGATCACCCAGAAAGGCAACGAGATTAAGCCGACCATCGATCGGGAAATGAAAACCCCAATCTGGTAGAGAACCTAGAAATTGAAAACTAATCTCTCAAACAACAATGAAACAGTAATCTTTAATCGAAAACCCACTTGATACCACTTATACTGTGAGTCAGGCGAAGAATGCAATCCCTGAGTGCAATCAAAGATGATTAATTCAGCCTAGAAATGGTGATGTTTGGGCTGGATGAATTTCCAATTCTCACCAATCCTTGATTGATGAAATATTGCGCAAAGTAGACCGTTCCCAACGGGATCATGTATTTCAATAAGCCCTGGAAAGAGTCTAGCTTAAGTTCGCAATCATTTCTACCATTGAGACGCTCAATTTCTCGCGAACACTTGTTGGTCCATTTGATTGTTGACTGTCGGTGGAGGCGGCTAGAAAAGAAATTGATTCCGCGTAGTTTTCTATTGTAGTTGGACTTGATTTTCAGTGGGATTTGCTTTAAAAGTGACTACGATAGCTTTAAAAGTGGCCACGATAGCTTTAAAAGTGGCTACGATAGCTTTAAAAGTGGCCACGATAGTTTAAAAGTGGCTACGATAGCTTTAAAAGTGGCTACGATAGCTTTAAAGTGATTACGGTAGTTCGACTATTAGTTTTTTTTCAGTGATTGCTTGTTGCAAGATCTTCCCACCATTGTCTATTTGTCCATTTTCGATAATTTTCACTTTCCACTCGATCCAAGTTGATGGTCGGTGGAAAACGGTTTTCTTAACGGTCGGTGCTCGGGCCAATAAAAGGCAATAGCTGAAATTGAACAGAAATTGTGTTGAGCTGATTGTTTTTATCGATTAACACCAGAAAAACGACAACTTCGGGTTACGCGAATCACTTACGTGACTGCAAAAACAGTTGGCCCGACTAGCATTAAAAGGAGAGCGGTTCGTGGAGTAAGCGCGAGCATTCGCGGATCGGTCATCGCTAAATTCTCAGGACTCAACGAGTGAAAAGCTAACGATTAAAAACGCCAGAAAGAAAGGGTGTTTTTCAATTCTTTTCAATTCTCAAACGCATCCAAACAAATCGCCTACCTGCATACAGTGCAGCTCCCAGAATGCCGGCCATTCCCGTCCCAGAGGACCACGAGGTCAACACATTTCTATAGGAAAGATGAGATTTTAAAAACGGAAATTTACGCTGAATAGTGTGCCGCTAGCGCTAAATACATGATCTCACCAAAGCCACAACCAACCGACGCCATTGCCACTCCTAAGAATTGAAATTGTTTTGAAAAACGATAAAAAAAAAGAAAGAATAAAAAAACCAGTTAAAGCCATCGGCACATTTGTAGCAAAAGCGGTTATCAACAAGGAAAACACTTGAAAAACGATCACAATTGTGCTTCTTGTTCTAAAGTTGAGTTTACCAGTAGTTTAGTATCTTGTGTTTTTTTATAAAATGATTTAGCTCTTCGTATTGTAAGTGTTGAAATAGTTACCGTAAATACTGTAATAGTACCGCACCCCCATAATGACGGTGCGGAGTGTTGCGTAGTCTGGCTTTGAACGGGGTTTTCTCGACACTGGTTTATGCTACAATGCGCGCTTAGGTATCAAAAAATAGCCCTGAATTTCAGCTATTTTTTGATACCAAAGACACATTTTTTTTGAAAGTACGGGCGCTTTGAAAAAAATGAAATACTAAAAAAACTTTTGCGACTACGCGACTGTACGAGGGGGGTGGGGTATTATTACAGTATTTACGGCAAGTCTTTTGATCATTTATAAAAAGCTTTGACTCACTCACCCATATGGCAAATAATGAATGAAAAAAGGAGCAAAAAAATTTGATAAAGAACATTGGCAAAATGTTCATCATTAGAACAAGACCGGCTGATTGTTCCGTGCATACTCGCTGTGACATATCGGGCTGAATAGTTATAGAAATGTAAACGAGAATCAATTTTCTCTAGTTGACTTTGTTGTTGTTCTAGTTGGCTGTTGAAAGTTGAATGGTTGTTTAAAGTAAAGTCAACAAGTAGTTAGAGCTAGAGCACATCAAAAAAATTTGTCGCCGGGACCCGAACCCGGGACCTCTCGCTCATCGGCCAACTGTGCTAACCACTACACCACAGAGCCCTTGACCGCTCTCTCTCCAGAGGGAGTTAAGTGAGTAGATATGTATTCAAAATGAGACTATTGTTTGCATAAATTTGTATGCAAATATGCAATTTTTTTAAAACCAAATCTTTAGCCCGCCCACCCTAACTCCGTTGCGTGGGAAATAAATACTGCCCCACCCAGCCGAACTAACGTTCCCGGCTGCATAAAATCCCTTTGTCAACTATAAAACAAACAAACAAACCATGCAAATTTCCTCCTTTTTTGTTAAATTCCCATTTTTGCTCTCATCAACTCGTAGAATATCTTGTGCAGCGCTCAGCATAACCACATAACCAAAGTTATTGCAAATGCCGAAAATCCTCAAATAAATCGTCTTCTTTTCAATTGGTTGTTTAAGCGTTTACCAAAAAGCGATCAAACTCCTTCCGACATAATATTTGTTTGGAGGTTTCTCGAATATAACCTCCTCAGACTTCTCAGACATTCTAAAAAAGTTTTCGCTATAGCAAAAGTCAAGGAAAACTAAAAATGAATTGAATATCTTTCAAGTAGCTAATTACCGTAAATACTGTAATAATACCCCACCCCCCTCGTACAGTCGCGTAGTCGCAAAAGTTTTTTAGTATTTCATTTTTTTTTCAAAGCGCCCGTACTTTCAAAAAATGCGTCTTTGGTATCAAAAAATAGCTGAAATTCAGGGCTATTTTTTGATACCTAAGCGCGCCATGTAGCATAAACCAGTGTCGAGAAAAACTCGTTCAAAGCCAGACTACGCAACACTCCGCACCGTCATTATGGGGGTGCGGTACTATTACAGTATTTACGGTAGTTAATTAGCTCAAAGCTTAAAGTCTCAATTATTCGAAGAATTCAGGAATTATTCAAATCTGAAGCACAATAGAAATAAATTATTTCGAAATTAACAGATTTTTTTTTCATCCAATCGACTACAAAAACGTGAAAAAACGGTTGAAGAAAAAAAAAGAAACGAAATTGATAATGATAATGATATGGACAAACGAATCATTTGCTAAAAAAGATAAAACGAAAGATAAATCTTGGTGATTTTGTGATCAAGCGATCACTCTAAGAAAAAAAAAAGAGTATTGACCTATTAAATCAAAGGAAAAAAACGGATTTTGATCAAGGACAGATAAATGGGACGATCTGAGAAATAGGGGAATCGAGAATGAAATCATCGAATGATGGGAAAGCTTCGAGAAAGAGATATTTGGAGGATCGTGGTTCGTTGTGTCTGTTCAAAAAATCGAACTAGATAAACAAATCCCTTGAACTTCTTCAGAAGAGACTAAAGAGGTTACGGTAGTGATTAAAAGGTTAACATCAACTAATTGGGCTTGTTACGGTAACTTGTACACGCTTTAGAGTAGCTGGTTACGATAGCATACACAACTAAAAGGGTTTATGAATGGTTTATGAACGGTTTATGAATGGTTTATGAATGGTTTATGAACAGTTTATGAATGGTTTATGAATGGTTTATGAATGGTTAACTAAAAGGGTTTATAAATTGAAAGAGGTTGAATATCAGTGGTTAAATAAATTAGGTTAAATGGAAAGAGTTCTAAAATGACACGAGCTTATCAAAGATCAAGGGAAAAGAAAGAAAGGAAATGCTAGCCGCGAAAAGAGAAATGCTATAAATGACGCTGGTTGAGACAAGCATCGCGTAATTGATTTCTAAAGATCATCCATCCAAACAATTGAATGTTTTGCCGTTAGCAGATGACAGATCTTGATTTCAATTGATCAATTTATGAGTTTGAAATCCGTTTTTATTTGTCTACTTTAAATTGGATATATAAATTGGGGGGTAGGCTAGTTTGCGCAACTGGGTCATTTGCGCAACTCGCCATAACTTTTTTCTAAGTAGATCAATCTTTATGATTTTGGTTTCATTTTGTAGATCTCAATAAGTGCAACAAAATGAAACCAAAATCATAAAGATGGATCAACTTAGAAGAAAGTTATGGCTAGTTGCGCAAATAAAATTGCCGAAATTAGCCTATCCCTTATTTTACAACCACTTTATAACTTTATGACAAGATCAAATAGTTACCAGTAGATAGTAACTTATTGAGATCTACAAAATGAAACCAAAATCATAAAGATTGTTTCACTTAAAAGGAAGTTATGGCGAGTTGCACAAATGACCCTGTTGCGCAACAAAAAAAAAGTTGCGGAAACTAGCCTACCCCCCAATTTATATATCAAAGTAGAAAAACAAAAAAGGATTTCAAACTCTCTTTTTATTTGCCTTTTGATGATTGCTCCCTTCTCGCTTTTTGCATATTTTTTCTTTAAAAAGTTCATTCACCATTGATATGATTGAGAAAATGAAAAAGAAATGTGAAAAAAAAAAGAAAAGAAGAAGAGAAAAAGAGAAGAAAACACGACGGAAAACAATAAGAAAACAATAATATTTTCAAATGGTTGATGATGCAAGATTCGTGCAAGATTCGAGAGAACTTTTAAGCACAAGGCTTTTATGTGTTAAATATAGGAAAAGTGTAAGATAAGTTTACTAAAAATCACTTAAATCTAATCTAAATCTAAAGATAATCGGCTTTTAAATGATATTCATATATTAGCCGTCGTAGCCGTTGACGAAATTCAGCTGCTAACGAATCATTCGTTAACGGGTAGCCGTTAACGATTTTCGATTTGAGCTAAGCTAGATAAGCTGATTTGCGTCTTGCATAAATAGTTTGAAATTAAAAACTTATTTGAATCGAGCCATTTTCGCAGAAGACGATTACAAATTGTACACGGTTAGCGAAAAAATTGTTATCGACTAGCCGTTAACGAATGATTTGTAAACGGCTAGTCGATTACGAATGATTCGTTATCGAATTCGTTTACAAATCATTCGTTAACGGCTAGTCGATAACAATTTTTTCGCTAACCGTGTACAATTTGTAATCGTCTTCTGCGAATGAATGATTCGTTAGCGGCTAGCCGTTTACAAATCATTCCTTATCGACTAGCCGTTTACAAATCATTCGTTAACGACTGGGGAAAGCTTCGAGAAAGAGATATTTGGAGAATCGTGGTTCGTTGTGTCTGTTCAAAAAACCGAACTAGATAAACAAATCCATTGGACTTCTTCAGAAGAGGCCAAAGAAGTTACGGTAATTTCGTAAACGGCTACGACATATAGACTCGCCATAACTTTTTTCTGTAAGATTGCTGATCAATGACTCTTTCATTTATTTGGCGAACAAGAACTTGATCTAATTTAAGTTTTTTGAGAGATTTTGATGGCATAAACAAAAACGATTAATAAAACAATGAGGAATTTGAAGGAAAAGAAACTTTTCAACTTTTCAAAATTTACAAGAAAGAATTTCATTAGAAGAAGTGAAAAGAAGAATTTATAAGCTTTTTTTTAATAAAACAAAAGAAAAATCTTTGGTCGATTCAAACGGGGAATCAATTGTGACGAAAGAAAACACTGATTTTTGGAATAAATTGTCCAACCTCAAAATTGGTGGACAATACAGGGTGGCTGAAAATTACGTGCGCCAAAGAAAACGCCATAATTTAATTTTCTTTCAAAGAAAATGTAAAAATATTTATTTATATAATAGTTGTAACAAAAGCATTTAATAATCACAAGAAATTTTCGAAGTGGCCTTCATCCGCTTTGATACAGGCTTCAATTCGCTTCTTTACAGAATCGACGGTGCGGCGGAGATAATTTGCATCTAAGTCGTTCCAGATTTTGATCAATTCTCGACGTAAATCATATACATCATATCGGAAAAGCTTATGAGAAAAATGATATTATGTTTATAGCGAGTAAAAACTCGCAGAGTTTGGCGAGCAAACATAAGATGAATTTATAAGTTTTTTTTTAATAAAACAAAAGAAAAATCTTTAGTCGATTCAAACGGGGAATCAATTGTGACGAAAGAAAACAATTATGGTTATTCTGATCAAGCGATGAAAGATTTAGATGAGGTAATTCGATAAGATTAAGGCTAAATTTTATCATATAATCTTTGGAGGTGGGCTCAATGGTCGGTGGTGGTGGATCGGAGCTGCTCGGCATCCTCCGTCCCTACTATTCAATGATGGAAATGTCAGCGAATGGAAATAAACAAGTAATAAACTTTAAAAAAAAGCTGATTTTAGATAAAACTAAGAAAAACTAGGGTCTCGGCTCATATTTTCACGTGTTGCCTGATGAGGAAGAGGGTGATCGGCCAATCTATTCTCTTGGCGCTTCATTTTATGGTGGACTCGAGCCAGCTGGTGTTAAAGTCGGCCATTTGAATCGTCCCTTCGGATAATCAAATTTAAATATTCAAATAAATTTATTTCCTTATGCAATTCAATAATACAAGTATCGACTTCGCATAGCAAAAGTGCTTTTTAACGAAAAGCCGAAATGAAGAGCTGACAAAATCACTAGAGAACCAATCTATTCTCTTGGCGCGTCATTTTATGGTGAACTCGAGCCAGCGGGTGTTAAAGTCGACCATTTGGTGTTAAAGTCGGCCATAAAGGTGTTAAAGTCGGTCATTTGAATCGACCCTTCGGATAATCAAATTTAAATATTCAAATAAATTTATTTCCTTATGCAATTCAATAATACAAGTATCGACTTCGCATAGCAAAAGTGCTCTTCAACGAAAAGCCGAAATGAAGAGCTGACAAAATCACTAGAGAACCATAGGAGATCATCTAAAAGAGAAAAAATATTAGCAAGACAAAAAAAATCAAAATTAGAGTTTGTTAGAGTTGGTTAGTTTTTCATTTGTTACCTGTACAACAAGAATCTCTCTTTCGGTTTCATGAGGTTGCCATTCGATGTAGGGAATCGAGAAATGAATCCACCGATAGCAGTGGTGTTCCCGATTCGGCAACCAGTGACAATGATAGGTGAGTGGTGGGGAAGAGGCGATTAATCTGAAAAGTTTGTAGAAAACTTAGGAAAGTTTCGCATTTCGAGCACCTGGTTGTCCAACAGAAAATCCCGAAAATGATCGTGGCAAACAGGAGAACGGCCAGCGCCGAGCCGACGAGATTTATCGTTCTCGAGATCGGCCCGTGACATCGGTGTTTCCATGTGATTGCGCCTACAATGGTTCAAGGATTATACTGATTATTATATTGGTTCTAATCTTTTAGAACAATCTTCTTCTGTTTTTCTGAAAAACGAATGTCTTTTTGACTAGCAATGAATAAAAACGAACAACTTTGATAGTCAACAAACGACTTTGGCAACCGTTCTTTGTCTTTTGATCATTTTAATCAAATCAAAATCAAAATCAAATGTCTTTTGATGATTTTGATGAAAAATTGATAAACCAACCTTGTAAAATACCAAATAACCCGCTGAATATCGGTAGAAAAAGAAAGAAAAACGTGCAGCAATAGTGCCAGTGAATGAAACCGACAAAGAAAGTCACCGCTCCGACGACACATTGATAATGATAGGAGTAAAGACGGAGTCTG